AGACAAAAAAAAAATAAATTTCATGTATTCATTCTGGTAGGAAAGGGGTAAGTACTATGTAACAACCAACTAAACAGTCATTCTGCATAAGTTATATTATTTACATGCAAGTATATAGTTGAATAATCAGTTTTTGCACAACTGGCTTGAAAAATTAATCTTGTACCTCACTGGGACAGGCATGAAGAGCTGGAAAAAATGTTTGGTATGTAAATAAGAGAGGTTGTGTACAAACAATTCATAAAAATTATACTTCTTTCATTGATTTGGCTACCTAATCAGGTCTATAATGATTTCTTATACCCATTTTTGTTGATTGAACAACAGGACGTTTTTCTTTGTATTTGTACTTTCTGTTATCTAGTTCAAGGTACTTATTATTGTCTTATGTTTTGGAACTTGTTACCCCTGCCTGACAGTGATGGTATTGTTTTTACTACTCACTCTGTGTGAATAGGACAGCTTAAAAAGTTTTCACTGAATGTGATTCAATTTAGTACAAGGGTTGTTGTCTTCCAAGGACCAATTGATTAACTTTTGGTGAATATATCTCAAAGGTGAAGGTTACAATGAAGATCAACCACTTTCATTATAATGGTAGCAAACTGGTCAAAATGATCAAAACATTGAAATAGGGGGATCTTGGCATCTAGACCTACATTTTTGAGAGTTATGAATTATTTGGTGTACATTTTAAGTTTGTTTCTTGTGGGGCAGAAACATTGTGAGGCAGGGGTTGCCCTCTCTGAATGCCTTTCCAGTTTCAATTTACTTTTCTTCACTAGGTTTCATCATTTTCTAATTATAGTAATTTCATTTTGACTAAAGAGTTAACTAGTGTTGAAGTCCTCTAATATTTTAAACTTTTGAAACTGTTATTGATGTGGAACATTGGAGAAGAATGTAACTGTAACATTGTTTGCTATATTTTCTAAGGTTATTTTGTATAATTGTATGTAACATATAGTAATAATTTAAAATAAGTATTAGGTAATAAAAGATGCATTGCATTGTTGTTCTTCAAGTTGTTGATGGCAGGTTTATACACTATAGGGTGCTGTATCAACAATAAAAGCCAGTTATAAGCAACAGAAGTTGAATGAAAACTTTTGAATTCCGTAAATCAACTGATAAGATAACATTTGTTAATATATATAATAATTCATTGGTACATAAGGTTATATATATATATATATATGTGTGTGTGTGTGTTAATTTTTTTGTACTAAACTTTGTCTATGTGTTTTATATCTTTAGCACTAAAATTATTGACTTATTTTTTATAGCATTTGGGGTCCATATATTGCATCATATTCAGTTTGTGTGTGTGTGTCTGTTACAGTCCTCATTATAAAGAACTGACAAAGAAATTGGGCACAAACACTCCTTTTCTGTGCAAAATGTATAGGATACCTCAGCAGTTATTAGATGGATTTATTTAGATATTTGTTTACATTGTTTTTTGTTACTCTTATGTTATTAGGGACCATGTAAATAACAGTATTTAAGGACGAGGGATCTATTGGCCCATCTAAAATGTCACATCCACTAAAATAAACTCAAAGCCAGCCCTTACCCTTTAAATATTTCATAAGCTTTCTCTTAAACGTCCTTAAGTTTACTGCTTCCAGCACATCTGAAGACAATCTATTCCAAAGGCTATCTACCCTGTTAGAAAAATAAAACTGTCTTAGGTGAATAATTTTTAATGATAATTAGTAGCATTAATGCTACATATTGTAATAACGTGTTCTATCACTTCTGTTTTTCAGGTTTTTTTAATTATTTGGTGAAAATACCAAAATTCAGGTGAGGTAACAATAATAAATTAGTTTATTTCTTCCTTAATATTTGCTACAGGCAAACTATCACATTTACACAGTTTTAGGCCTAAGTATATAAATAATGTTTTGATTTTTCAACAGAAATTGACCTTCTAATGGTATGACTAATGTACAGATAAACTTGTAAAATTTCATGGCTAATTGATTGAGTAATTGAATACACATGAAACTGTCATTGATCTGAATGCTTCATTAACTTCTGAATCACAAAACAAACTTAAAAATTAACTCAGTGCTTCACTGATTCTTGTATTTATAATGTATCCTTGTTTCTTGATCAATAACACTCATGAATGCTGTAGGTATTCTAGGACTGCTTTTATAGACTTTCTAAATTTAGTTTTATCATTGTGTTAGCGGCTCTCTACCAAACAGCTAAATTAAAACATTGAAAATACGGCTTACATCGATATTTTTCAAATCTAGGTTCACTGTGAAAAGTAAAAGACAATTAAAAACAAAGGATTGAAAAAATTCTGGTGGTGTTAAAATTTAATTTTTTTCCTAATATACCAAAAGGTTTCAATAAAGTATCGATAAAAACAAAAACTATACTTTAAACCTTGCAGTTTAAAAATATTGTAAGCTGTTTTTTGATATTTGTTAAAGAGGGCTTTTCATTTTTGTGATATCAAGAGTCTAGTAATTTTGAGTGGTATCTAGACACAAGGGTACATTGTTGTAAATATGTAGTGATAAGTAACGAATGAGAAGGTAATTAGAATATAATGATTGAATTCAGTGTTTGTTGTAAGAATTATCACATATATTGTGCTATTTGTTACTCTGCGAGTTGTATGATTATCTATTAAAGCTAGGTATACATCATGCAGTTTATATTGAAATGTATTTAAAGTGAGGCCTACATTAATTGCAGTGTATGTTGAAAAGTTTGTTTAATGAACTTAGGCCTACAAGTGAATGTGTATAATTAAGAAATTAATTCATTACCATCGTATGTACTGGATTTTGTATGATTTTACCATAAAATCCAAAAGAACCCACCAAATGAAAGGACAGTTTACAATATTATGATCATCCTTTTCGTCACAATTATTAATTAAAATATGGGGTGGTAAAACTTCGTTTTTTAAGTTTTAAATTTGTCTAATAGAAAGGTTATTGTAATTATTAGGTATAATTTAATTTTCATCAATAAAAAAGACCTCCATGAAATTTTTTGTTGATGCAATTATATAGGTTTGATCCTTGGGATTTTTAATATAATAATTGTTATGACTTGAAATCTCTTTGTTAAACATATATAGTTGTACTGTGTTTTGGTATGTAAAAAAACAAATGATTTAACTAGAAATCCAATGTTGAAGCCTTGGTTATTATATAAACATATTTGACTAACATTGATGAAATGAATTAGGTTTTTTGTCTGTTTGAAAATTAATTAATTAAAACAAGAAAAGTAAAGAAAATCATTGATATTTCTGAGAAAAATGTCACAGGTTTAAGCCTTAATGTTGTTTGTAATTCCTCCAACCTTTGCCCCAATTATTGTTTCATTTACAGCATTGAAACATAGTTCATGATGAAAAGCAAAAAGCCTAAACTTTGGTATTTTCATTTAAAAAAATAAGACTTCTCTTGTTATTAATATAAAATCAACCAGGTTTTGGGTATTAAAAAATCCATTATCTTGTTGGAAATTCAAAGAATAAAAGTCTTGGTGTTTTTATGAAATATTTGAGCACCCTTTCCATATATTGATAAAATTAAAAAAAAAAAACTATCTCATTCAAATTCCAAAATATTAAGACATAGTGCTTTTAATGGAACATTTGGTCACACTTTATGCTTCTTGAAAGGTGATTTAAATCGGCTATAGAGTACTGACGATTTGACTCATTTCCATTGTTATGAAAAATTTTACCACCTACTAATTTAAATTTTTTCTGCAGATTTAATAAATTGGGTTGCTACATATCAAATAAATATCTTTTGTCAAAAACCTGGATGGTTAAATCTTGATAATGTCTAACAAATAACCTTTACATTAAAATTTTTTATTCTTCACATTTTCTTGTTTTCTTAAATCAAATCAATTTTTTTCTGTTTTGTCAAAATCCATAGACTTAAGCCTTGGTGTTTATGCAAAATTTGACAGATTGCAGACTTGGTTTCTTGTGTCTATAAATATAATTAGGTTTGAGCTAAAGAAAATTCCTTTTCTTATCAAAAGTGATACCTTTTGGCAATTCATAAAACAAAACTCTTTAGACTACCTTTAAATTTCTTTCTCATGTTCAAAGTATTAATTTTTCTTCTTTATAAACAAATTTACTACCTTGTTTGAATCAAAGGCATTTTTAGTAAACATTAAACTAATATTTATTGACAGAAGAAACAAATTTAATGGTATTCAAGGGGTTAAATTTTGTTAAAATAATGTTTTAAAAAATATGTTATTAAATGCCCAAAGACTTGATATATGCAAAATATTTCTAATAAATATAAAATTTTTCTTCCTTATATCAATGGCCTGGTGCTTAGAGCACTTGACTTTCAATCTGTAGATTGGAAGTTCGAATCCCATTACAGAACATCTTTGTCTTATCAGTCATGGGCAAGTAATTGTTTGACGGTCAATCCCACTATTCTGTTGTAGTGGTGGTGGATAGTGTTGATTAGCTGCCTTTCCTCCAGTCTGTCACTTCTAAATTAGGTGCAGATAGGCCTCAAGTAGTTGTGTGTACAATCCACCAAAACAAACAAACTTGTATTCATAAAAGCAACTAGGTGTTTTTGCCTATTGAAAGATATTTGCTATATTAAAAACGTAAAAAACTTTAGTGATTTCATAAAATATTACAACCTCCAGTAAACTTATCTTTAAAGTTTTTTTTGTACTAGCATGAGTTATATGCAAAATGTCCAGTCTGTACTAAGTGTTTTGCAACATTGCAGGAATAACCTTTCTTTTTGAAGTCTTCTTAGATATGTTGATACAATGTATCCTTCTTCAAAGCCTTATTAGTGTAAATTGTGTCCTGTATAAAAATACATAGGTATAATGTTCGGAGAATGTGGAGATCAGGTAATCAGGCCTCTCAACCCAATCTAATGACTAAGGAATGTTTCATGACTTGTGTTGCAAACATTAAGGCTCCATTCTGCTGAAATATATAAACTAGTGAAGAAAAAACTTTTCAAAAAAGGAAGTTAATGTAGAGATGGCTAATATCAATTCTTCAAAAACAATGCAAACAAGATAGTAGGGATGGCATTTGCATCATCCATACACAGTGTAACAGACAAAAATAAGATAAATTAAACTCAATTGTGATTGAATAGTTATATATATATATATATATTTATTTATTTATTTTTTTCATATGTTAATTCTTGCCTGTGCTGATATGTAGGGATGATGCAAATGCCATCCCTACATTTACTTCCTTTTTTGAAGTTTTTTCTTTACGTGTTTGCTTTTTTTTTAATGCAGTGTTTCAATAGACATAGGAAGGTAGTATTTATAATCAAGTTCTATATACAGTGAGGTTCCAAATGTAATATTTATTGTTTATCTGTTATTGGCTGATAATTCCTGTTTCATCCTGTACTTAAGCTTTTTAAACTAACACCAAATTTGTGTAAGAAAGCTAACTTCAAGGGATAATGATAGCATCGTTTACACTAGAAGTATTATTAATATTTTTTAATTACTACTAGTTATTATTAATACTTATAAAAGTGGACACTGTTTGAAACTATCTCACCCCAGTGAAATTGGTTGACACCATTGTTTTGGTTTTTGAGTTATGCAATTAAAAATAACAAAAAATACAAACTTTTTTGCTGTGATATTTACAGACATTCCCGGAACTTGTGACTCAGTCATTACATAGGTATTGTAAAGTTCTGACGAGATATTTAAAATACCATTTTGATGAACGATCCCAGCCATCCCCACATAGGCAGTGCTATCACCAGCCTGATAATATGTATGAGGATTGTAGAAAAGAAAAAAAGTTAAACATCATTCTTGCACGAACAACAAACCACACGTCTCTATGTTAAACAGCTTTCCCATCATAATATTTTAAAAGTGTTTCCAAAATTCTTGGAGACCCTGTAATAGTCTTAATTTTCTGTATATTATTTAAAGATATAATCAGAACACTCGTACCATTTCACCAAAAAAGATAATAAACCCGTTTGCTCACAAATGGAGAGCATAATTCAAGTTGCCAAATCAGCTTATTTCCCATTTTAAAGGTTTCATGTTCTAATAATTATTTTTGGCAAACTAGGATAAACACAATGGTATGGCTTGTTAATAAAAATGGGGGAAGTAGGAAAAATTGGGTTATATTTTCAAGAACTTCCTAATAGAAACCTTTGATTTACCAGGATTTCAAGTACTGGAAAATTTGTTGACAAACTTCCATGACTTTCAACAATTTTCATGACCTGTTTGAACCCTGCAAAAAGCTGCGTGTTGACTACCAGAAGGTGAATAAAGTCATATATAGGATGCCTGCAAACTGCCAAGGACTTACTTTAGTTTGGATGCTTTATCTGAGTCATAAAAGATTTTTCAACACTGGATCTGAAGATTGATACTGACAATCAAGTCAGTGAAGAAGTAAAGAAAAGACAACTTATACTGCAAGAAATAGGTTGTGGTAATTTTTTATTACCATGTGGGTTATGTAATAAGGTAGGTACATATGGATGACTAACAAAATTGGTACTTCCATAATCACTATGATCAGAAGCATTCTAATACTGTCAGGAACTTGCATATTAAAAAAGCAATGGAGAGTATAAAAGAAGGGTTCTACTAGAATGGATGCCAGAAATGTTATCATTTGCACCAACTTTCCTATGCTGTGAATGAAAAAGTCAACAAAGAAAACATGGGTAACTGCAGCAGGTATTGTGGTGAATCACCACTTGAGAGAGCTACAATGAATGTGTTTGGTCTAACACTGAGAATAAGTGCATCAGGGAGCAGAAACTCTTGGAAGGAAGCTTTTAAATGAATACATTTCAAGATTTGGGATGGGTATGATCAAGGATGAAATTTTGAATCACATTTGTTTGCAGATGTGTCAAACCTTTGAAATCTAAAACACCAGAACAATAACCCATCCTTTTGATGGTATGGTGGAGAGGTACAATTATGTGCTACAAAATCAATTAGCCATTTAGGTGAATGAACATTGGGGAATGTGGGGTCAAGTTGGAAGAGAACTAAACCTTCTGTACTCGCACATCCTGAGAACCATCATGTAGCAGTGTCTTACACAGATTATGCAATGAAGTCATACATAACTTCACCTGAAAAAAAAAAAAAAAGAAGAGACTTAAATCAGTCAGTGATAAGATGAAAAGTCACTGTGTAAACACCGATAAGACTGGATTTTATCATAGTGATATATGGATGTACATTGCAAGAGAGGACAGTCTAAAAAGTCAAGTAGATGTTGGGAAGGACCATATGCTATAGTTAAAGGAATCAATGATATGGTTTAAAGAATCCAGTAGGACAAGTCAGTCCAAAGTAAGGTCATCCACAATGACTGTCTTTGGAAGTAAGTTGGCAAGAGAATGATCAATGGTTTGCTGAAGAACCAGAGGATCCTTTCATGATAATTTATCATATATTAGCAAGGATGGAACCACCACCAGCTCCCTATGACCCTCTACCTGAAGAGAGCTCTCCCTTGTGTCACAGTGGCAATACTTATGAGGTACAAAAGATCATCCTAAGTCTACCATAAGAGATAAAGCACACTACACCATTGAAAGTATACTACTTGTATTTTTGGATGAAAAAGTATATTCATAGCTTGAAATCTGTAAAATATATATTACATGTGAAATCGAAAGAAAATAAATATATAAACTAGGTGTCAGAGCTGTAATTATTCTAAGTTTTTATTTATTTCACGTGAGCATAAACAATTGAACAAAATGATATATTTACAAAAGTATGTTTCCACAAAAAAAAAGAAAAGATATAATAACAATAAAAAATAGTAATTTCTTTAAAATGGAAGAGAATACTCAAATTCACATTTTAGACAGCACTAACAGGGAAATTTGATCTTTCAGCTTTTTTCTTTATATATTAATGTCACTCTGCTAGCATGCGTATATTAATAACATATCCTATCTTAAATAGTATTTAAATGAATCACTGTCCTACATAAATTAATACAATGGCAAATATACAAAATGCCAATGTCTCTAAAACATTCTTTACATGTTTCTGCAAATTTTCAATGTACAGTCATATTTTATGTTTACTGTATGCAATTTGAACAGTTTTCATCCACATTAGCACAGTAACTGGAATAATTGAAAATTACAGATCCATAGTAACATAATATTACATGTACAGAGTGAGTTCAGCTTCCATGCTATCCACGTTATTAGAGAAAAAAGTTATATAGACTAAACTATCGAATTACTCGTTTTGAACCACCAGGCTTCATAATCAT